TAGACTTTTTTATAATGCTTGTTTTTCATTTTGTTTTTTTCTAGTTTTTTGTAAATAGTAACTTTTTCTCTTTAAATTTTCACAAAGTACATAATGTAAATATTCTTTTATTATTATTATTATTTTAAATGATTTACAAACTTATTATTATTATTACATTATTGTTATTAAAATTTATTACAATAATAATTAAAATAATGATAATAATATATTATAATAATAATAAAAATAATAAACTTTATTTATACTGGTAAAAAGGCCTTCAGTATTATGAAATACTGGTATCAATAGATGACCAGCCCATGACACCCTCGGTTCCAAAGGCTCTCGCTCCAGTGCTTCTCGACTCTACGACCGAGACTGAAGCGAGAACCCAGCTGCAGGTTAAATGATAGTCATGCAAGGATAAATACTGAGAAAATGAAGTTGTTTTTATTTCCGTCAATTTGTGGTATCTTAAGGAGCGCAAATTTAAAGTAAAAGGAAATTATACATTCTAAGCCACAGCTAAGTTTATATGTTTTATCCCTTTTCGATAAACATGAGAACTACCTGCCAAATTAATATATAAAGAAAGAATCATCTGCCTCGTAGATCTGCTGATTCAGAATGCAAATGACAATCAAACATTTGTATCAACTTCTTATGATAAGCGTACGTAACTTCATTATGATACTCAACAGAAAAATCTAGAAGAATTTTATTTTGGGACTAGGGCAAATCGCCATGACCATGTTTACATCGTTTCCCTTAATTTCACTTTTAAAAGTCTTCTCACCAAAGAAAAATATTCTTTTGTTTTTTTACACAATATGTGGAGACTTTTGAGATCCTTTTCTATTAGTTTCAAAGCCGGAACGGCTAGCTCACTGGTTCGTGATCATGTTTTCCGTGACAGTAACTGGATTGTTAGGCTCTCTGAATGACGAGTCTTTCGCAGCCAATCGTTTTCTTTGGTTGGTCATAAACATATTTGCTGCTTATAGATTTATCAACACTACGTCTTTCCAGTTCTTCCATTAACACTTGGTTTAGTGCGTAATTAAACAACAGCTGCATACGTTTGATCACTAATGTTAAATTACTAAGACTCATTTTGTAGATTTTGCTTGGAGCTATTTTCGTTCGAACAATTATTATTTCTTTTATTGTTAAGTGTTCAGCTATAATAGTTCAAGCAGTAAATGTAAGTGCTCTGACTTTTCCTAGGTAAACAACTAGCTTTAGTGGCTTCAAGTCCTAGATTATTATCTCAGGTAAAGTTCATTTGGTCTTGTGTAAGTCAGTGTGGCAATCCCCTAAGCTGAGCTTGTACGCCTCAATTAATGACGTTATCAGTCCTGAATGAATCTGAAAATGAATTTTGGCTTGTAGGCTGTGAATTTATACTTAAAAATTAAAGAAAGTGGCACGAATGTGTTCGTGACAATGCAAGGCATACTAGCCAGACCGATCTAGTCCAGAATTTGACCCACTTTTATCGGTAGGTGCGCGTGCGGCAGAGACGATCCGAGCAGCGGAAAAAGACTGGTTAAGTTTACTTCTATTTTGAGATATAATATGATAAGTTAGTGAGAAAAGTGGATCCAGTTCTGGACTAGACCTAGACTGCGAGCTAAGTCCCTCTATTTCCCTTGGTCACCGTCCGTCTGTCTGTCCGTATCGATTGGTCGAGGAAGATTGGATACGAGTCCAAGGTCCCTGGGGGAGGGACCAATCGACACGGACAGACAGACGGACGGTGATCAAGGGAAAGGAAAGGACCGCTATCACGCTTAAGGTCACGGCACTTGCTCGAGGTCATATTGCGATAGCTAGAGCAAAACTTTTTAGTGATACGAAACTGCTCTACGCCACCACCATTGATGACCTGCGCTGAGAAATTGTCTTAGACTTAGGAATAAAGAACTTCTTTTCGCGGTACGGTTTCTTAAAAAATTTGCGTTTTCAGTTTTCTATCTATGCCAGCGGTCCCGAAGGCTTACGTTATCCGCGCATGAAATAACGGATTGTTAAACAACAAAGCAAATTGCAAAACGAGTGGAATAGCGAACGAGAAAAACAATAACCAACAAATAAAACAGCTTTATCCGTGCTCCGTTCAGTAATAAAGCACGCAGGAAGTAACGTAAGCACGAAAGAAGTGTAACGAGCAACACAAGCGGCAGCCGAATGCTCCTAACAATTCTAACCCATGAGTACTTTCTGCACTTTCTAAATGCTTTATTACTGAACGGAGCACGGATAAAGCTGTTTTATTTGTTAGTTATTGTTTTCTCGTTCGCTGTTTTGTTCCTTTTGTATATTAATATATTACTCATTTTATTTGGGCATTAAATTTATTTACGCAAAAAGAAAGACAGTGTCAGGATCTAGCAGCATTTCGCGCGCGCGGATTGCGTCATCACTGTGCTCCGTTCACTAATAAAGCACAGTTTTCTCACGCCCGATTTTTCAACTACTCAAAGATAGGGGGGATGGAACATGACGAATGACATCCAGGCATCTGTGAGACAACCGGCAGCACTACATGCCACGGTGTACAAGAATTGGAGATAAGAAAAGCTCAATGCCATGGAGCTAACAAAAACCAAAATGGTGGATAAAGACTTCCGGAAGCAAATAGAAAATGATAAGGTGTTCCCTTGCATAAAGCTTTTCGACCCAATTAGGACATATGGAGACCGACATTAAGTAGCAGGATTGACATATTCTCTAGGCTACAACATTTTAGTTTTGAAATTTATTTTGATTTAAAACTACTGAACCCGATAATGAATTTAAAAAATATATGTTTACCCTAGTTATACGTGAAAAGGCATGCGAGGCAAGGCACGGGCAAGACATTTAAAAAAAAAAATCACAAAGCAAACAGCTAGAATACAGGGGAAAAAAACAACTAGCAATCCAAACGATAAATCAGTTACCGAACTCGGTTTTTCACAAATCATCATGATTTTTTCAGTTTTTAAATAGTTTTTCTATTTTTATTTTACAGTGAAAAAAGGTAGAAGGCAAATGCGATCGAGTTACGTAACAAAAGAAGAAAAGAAAGAATTTTTTTCCGACAGCCGACCCAAAATCCTCCATCCTCGAATTAAAAACAAAAACAAAACAAAAAAACAAAAAAAAACGACGGAATTAAGAAACCATTCCCCTATTAATTCAGTCTATCACAACTAAGTTTATTTAAATAACGTTTGGAATAACCGATTCATTTTCGATTGAAGAAGGCTAGATAAATGATTTCAAGGTAAGCAGGTTAAACAGGAGCCGTGAAAAGAAAAAAATTTAAATACAAATCAATCATCAAGGCAAAAAGAAATTCTGGAACTAGACTGAAATGAATAGTTAGATTTACACTTACCCTCGTACAACTTGTCCTTTTTTTCAAACCAAGATTTCACGGGGTCACTGCGATCGGTTTCGAAGTCGTTACAAGATAAAAATTTACCCCTTAATGAACGAGGAAAGGTGTAGCATCATGAATATCAAAAAAGCTGCCGCAGTTTTGAGAAATGAGCCGAACACAAATAAAGAGTCAGCGGTAGTCAATTAAATTGCATATTCGTATGGCGCTTGCAATATCGTACTGGACAGAGAAAATACCTTCTCTTGGGGGGAGGAGAGGGGTCAATGAGGCACACACTGCTGGAAGTGTACTGGCATTTTCTTTTCTTTTTCTTTTTCATTTTCTTTTTCCTTTTTTTTTTTTTCCTTCCATTTTTCGCTAATTTTGCAATTAAAGAAATGATCATATATTTTGACGCAATTGCTCTTAGATTAACACATGGGAGTGGCATCCTTTGTCTTAACAAGAAATCTCGAAAAACTATTGGTGGAGGCTGGTGACAAATTTTGACTTATGACGTCAATGTACACGATCAATGACGTCAAGTTGTTGTTCACAAATATTATATTAAGAGCTCAGCTTAAAGTGCTTATAAGCCTTTGCACAATATTTTCAGAATTGATACTTTAGATAGTGAATAGTTGATTGTGAAAATATTTCGTCATTTGAATGTCGGGTCTTTAAGATACGAAGGTTTTTATTCCCAATATGTTAATGACTATGACGTAACATAAGGGATCATTTAATATACAACACTGCACTCGTTCCGGAATACAGTATTTTAAAAGCATCACCCTTTTACT